AAAGATGCCGCTCAGAAGACACCCAGCTAGACACAACCACAGCTAATCAAAATGCTGACTGTAACTACAAGCAGCCATCAACGGTCAGGTCCTGTAAGGCCTACTATATGTCCGGCACTGACCTAAGGGTTTCAGAGCAAACAGCAATTTCTAAAGTGTCTCAGGAACCCAGAAAAGCGGGCTACGAGATGAAATCTGAGAAGCTAATCTGAAGAAGTGCAGATGGCCTAGTCTGCCCAGCCCACATTCTTTCCCCACACACCTTCCATGATTATCTACTTAGGGTTTCACCTTGATTGTGAGGATGTTTATCTCAAAAGACTGGAGGGGAGGTAGTAACACTCAGACAAGAAGCCTTGTTACATTGTTGGAGTACAGGCTGCTTTTATGTTGTTTTCTTTGATGATTCTTTTAGAGAAAGTTAAAAATTTCTAGGTCTGTTTCCTTGTATCCTATTATAAAAATTATCAGAATTGTAACTGAGGCAGAATAGTCTTGGAGAGGCTACTCTCAACTGTTCTCCAAAAATGCTGGCCTTCTGATAAAACTTGGTGGACCTGTCTCTGCATACTGACTGGACAGTGACAGGCAGCCAGCCCCCTTTATCCACTAAGACCAGTATATAAATACCCGCTGGAGAAGTAGTAAGAGTTGAAAGTTAAAATAAATGCCTTTTATCCTTTACGACATTGAAGATTTTCCATGCATTATGCCTCATGTCTATAACATGACATAAACTGAATTTTGCCAACAACCACATACATATATACACAGAGCATCGACTTTCTATGAAACATAAACTGACTGTGCCACTCAGACAACAGGCAGTAAGACCTGAAGTATCAAGACAAGGACGACAACAGGGGGTCAGGAAAAGGCTGCTCTTCTTACAGGGCTCTGCAGAATCATGGACACCCTCTTCTTTTGCTCCATCATATTGAAGTCCTGGCGAAGGTCTGGTGCCATGTTCCTCTCCCGCAAGTATTCTGGATTGTTCTCATCCACCCTATCGAAGTACCTCTCCTTGTGAGGGGCTGTGGTTGGGGGTGGTGAGGTCACCACTGCGGCCCGAGTATCACCATTCATTGTACAATCTTTCTAAGCTCCTACAGAAACAAATAAAAGAAATTATTGTTTTTAAATAAGTGTCAAATAGTGTTTCATAATGAGCACATCTTCCTGATAAATACCGTCTCAACAGGAGGACACTCTGACAGACTGACAGGAGGAGCCAGGACCTGGGAGGCTTCTTTGTGGCCTGATCAGCCATCTCCTGCCCTTCCATTAACTAATGGCACATTTTGTCCTGGCATTGTTCTTCAGAAGACAACAACAGAACAACCTAATAAAGCAATCATACCCTCTGCCAACTTCAAGAATTATCAACCCTTGATAGTCGAAAGCCATGATGTGTTCTACACAGGATCTGCTAACAGCACACTTTGTTTTGGAAGAAATTTGATGTCTGATATTTTTCCCCAAAAATATCAGCAGTGGTTTTGCAAAGGATTCCCCAAACAAATCAACAGAATAATAATTACTCACATTACTGTACTCATAGAAATGGGAATTGCAGCTCAGCACCTGTAGCTCAGTGGTTATGGCACCAGCCACATTCACCAGGGCTGGCAGGTTCAAACCCAGCCTGGGCCTGCTAAGCAACAATGACAATACAACAACAAAAATAACCAGGCATTGTGGTGGGTGACTACAGTCCCAGCACCTTGGGAAGCTGAGTCAAGAAAATCACTTAAGCCCAAGAGTTTGAGGTTACTATGAGATATGAGGCCACAGCACTCTACCAAGGGCAACATAGTGAGACTCTATCTCAAAAAAAAAAAAAAAAGAGAAATGCTCTCTAGTAAGATTGCCTTTTTGGTTCAAAGACCAACAGTAGGTACCAGATGTTAGTATGCACCAGCTTATGAATAACAGAAAAAGATGTCAAGATGGCTCAAATTTAAGTCTGCTAATATGGAAGCAGACTTTACCTTCTTTTTAATCCCAATCTTCTTTTGCAAGAAACAATGTTCAAATGCACTAAATTATGTTCTAAATCTCTAGGCAGTACCTTTACTAATCATACAAAGTGTAAGGATTGTCATGTTTATAGTGAAATAATAGAAAAATCATTCACTCGTAGTTTTTCTTTTTTTTTTTTAAGTCATAGTTTTTTAATCAGGACTAAAATCTCTCTTCTGCTTTCTTTCTCTTGACAGCAGTTTCTCTCTCCCCTGTAAATTTCTTTTCTCTGCCTGCCTTCACATGAGCTTATTTCAGCATGTTTTTTCAGACTGATACTACTGATATCAGAGTGAAACACTATTTTAAGATTAACATACAGGTTGGGCTAGGGGCTCAGACCTGTAATCCCAGCACGTTGGGAGGTGACCTCTGCAATGTGTTCCCCTATTTATATTCATTCCTAGAGCTTAGATATCTCCATTACAGATACTTTCCAGGTTATGCGCAAGGCATTAGAGATAAGAAGATACAGATGACTCGGAGATGATAAATGAAACATTTCTGCCATGACGGAAATCCCACAGTAGTACATCAGCAGGGGGAAAGCTTCAATGATGAGAGGCAGAAAGAACAGAGAGTGTTATGGGTTGTACTGTGTCCCGCCAAAATGCATGTTGACGTCCTAAGCCCCAGCACCCCAGAATGTGACCTTATTTGGATATAGGGCCATACCAGATGTAATGAAGTATGGGGTCACACTGGAGTAGGGAGACCCCTGGTCCAACATGACTGGACCAGGGGTCTCCCTCATAAAAGGGGAAATCTGGACACAGAGGTGCAGAGGAAGAACACCACATGGAGAAGGAAGCAGAGGCCAGAGTGAGGCTTCTGTAGGCCACAGACACCAAGGGTTGCCAGCAAGCACGACGGTCTGGAAGAGAGACTGGAATAGACTCTCCCAAAGGACCTCAGAGGGGCAAAGCCTGCCCACACCCCAATTTCAGGGTTCTGGCCTCCAAAACTGTGGAACAATACATTCCTGTTTGTGGTACTTCATTATGGTGCCCTATGAAACTATCAAGTATGTAAGGAAGGCTTTCAGGGAAGTCTCAAAGAAGAGATGCTTTTACAGTTAAATAGGTGTTTGCCAGGTGGCTTAAAGAAGTTAATGGCAGAGGGCAGCGCCTGTGGCTCAAAGGAGTAGGGTGCCAGCCCCATATGCCAGAGGCAGTGGGTTCAAACTCAGCCCCGGCCAAAAAAAAAAGAAGGCAATGGCAGACAGTAAATGAACATCCACTGAGTTTTAAAGAAGAGCAGCACAGTACTCGGATTTTATACTAACACCCAGCAGGTGCTCGAAGAGTTTAGTGACCTCACTGAACTAGTCTCTCTTTCAAACCTTTCAGCCTCCACTCATCCTAAAGCCCCAACTCAAACATTTCCTACTCTGTGAAGGTTTCCCCAAGCCCCCAAGCCTGGCAATTTGCCTCCTATATGCCAAGACACTTCATTCTCCCCTCATTTACAGCCTTTTCCCAATAGAACCCAATTATTTGTGTCTATGTTTGCTCCCTTACCAGCTTGTTCCTGTCCGTGAAGAACAGGGATGATTCAATTCCAAGGCATTTCTGTAAATGAACCCTGGGAGAGCATTTCATACACAGCAGGAATTCAGGTGGGACTTTGTCCTTAAAGGAGGACATGTGCTAGAAGGAATATCCTAACTTCTTTAGGGGAAGGGCTCCTGAGATTTGGATCCAAGATGAAATGGCATCCTCGAGACATACTCAGGGTCTCTGCCAGGAAGAATAACGAGATTTTAAACACACGTACGAGACCCAATACTGGCGGCTAAGCCTAGACAAAGAGCTGGGAGGAGCACAGGACAGTCAGCACAGACCCTGGCTGGTACCTTAAATGGAAGAGAATGTGGAAGCTGGGCCAAAAGTTACTTATAATTCACAGAAAGCTGCAATCTTGGCAGAGGTGCTGCAGCAGCCAATAAAAAGGGGTTCCCTAGTATCCACTGACAGGAGGGAGCTGACACCGAGAACCCTCTCCCAAATAAAACAGCACAGCACAGAAGTCATCATCCCTCACTGTTTCCCAGCCTCACAATGAGGTTCTCCACTTCCCCTCAAAGAGAAACACCCACCTTCCGTTGAAGGTTCTTCTTCACAGCCCAGCTTGTGTCCAGGAGGACCTGCATGTGCCTTGTTTGGGACCTGAGAGCTCAGTAAAAGCCTTTAATTACTCTGATCGGATCATGTCTATTCCTGTGCCTCCAGATGTTTTCTTGTAGATGAAACTATCCAAAAGACACCTTTAAAATAATCACAGCTAAAGTGATCACAGGTTACCAACGCCGAATCCTGATTTAAAACTCCTTTTTATTCATTAACTTATTGTTTTCTCTGTGGGTAAGGCACAGAGCAGCTAGGAAGCCAGCAGTGGGGCTGCCGAGTGCACACTCAGGCTGCTGGGCTCCACCACCGCTCTCCACGCCACTGCACATTACCTCTCATCACAGAGTCTCCTCCGCACAGTGCCAATCAGAGCAGAAAGCAAACATTAAAGAACAAGAATGAATCACAGCAACACCCCAGCCTTGCCTTCCATGCTGACCACCTCTGAATTAAGATATGACCAAAACCAAATTTAGACAAAGAAAAACTATGATTCAAACTGTATATATTTTTAGTTTTCCCTTATATGGCACCAAAATGGTGCTCTTTCAATAGACATGCCACTACTAAAGTAGAGAGGAAGAGTCAAACTCTAGATGTCTCCAGACTTAGGCCATGGAGATCCCATGCAACTTTCGAACGCACTTGAAGTGAAGTATTCCCAAAAGACAATTATCTGTTGTCAGCTATTTTCACTAAATAAAATATTTACTGAGCACCTAACTATGAGGCTACTACAGGCCAGGCACTGTTCAACAATCCAGATGCTTAAAAGACATCATTGAACAAAACAAGGATTTCTGATATTTTAGCTAAGGGGCCACTCAGTAAACACGATCAACAAGCCAATCCCACAGCACATTAGAAGGTGACAGGATACGGGCAGGAAATGAGAGTCCAGAGAGGTGGGGAAGAGAGTCAGATCACTAAGTAGGAAGGACAGAGGAAGGCTCCCAGAGAAAGTGACAGCTGAAGAATAACTCACAGATGCACAGGTGGCAGGGGTGGCAGGCCAGGTGGACATATATCCAGAAAGGTTCTAGGCAGAGGGACAGTTAGAGCCACAGAGTGAGAACTGGCTGTTTGGGAGTGGGGGAGGGGAATTAAGCTAAGTCTGTTCATCATCTTCTTTAAACACTGATATATTTCATTTACATTTGATAAATAAACAAAAATACGAAGAAGCTAAGAAAAGGTATAAGCATCTTGTTTAATTTTACACAGAAAACTAACGCCAAAAGTAGGATTAGAAGCCATAGCTCCTAAAACCCTGATCTGACCCTCTCAGACCCACTGCCTCCATCAAATCCAGGATCCACCCCGCCAGCCATGTGCACTGTGCCGCTCTCAGCAGCACCTGGCACTGCTACCCTCTCCTCGAGGGCACTGCCCTCTTCAGGTTTTCAGATACCAGTTTCTGCTTTTCCTCCTACCTCTCTAGCAAATCCTGTGAATCTCCCTCCCAGGACTCTGAGCTGTCTCTCAGGGAAGATTTCTTAACTTCTCTGGCCAGTTTCCACATTTGAAATGGGGATAACAATGGTATCGACCTAATAAATTAATGGAGTGCCTGACTCACGGGAAGCACTTGAGGGTTAGCAATTAGGATTACTATCAGAAATTCCCTGCCTCCCCTTCTAGAATGTAATCCTCAAGAGGGGGAAAAAATGGTCTCTTTCATTTACTGGTGTATTCACAGGGCTATCACATAATAGGGCCTCAATTAATATATAATATTAATATGTTAGAGAACAAATATACTGCCAAGTCTACTACTTGGGACTCACAATGCTAATCTATGTTTGAATTCCAGAAGCTTCTGACCGTAGAAAAAAAATCACTTTGCTACATTTAGTCACAAGTCAGTGACTAGGGATGAATTTCAGTTTGCCACTCACAAGGAAATTCCAGTCTACAAATGGACAATCTGTATATCAAATTAGGTTGTCTCTGAGTTAACCAGGTTTTATGTTTCTAAAAATTACGTCAATTCCCAAAGTTGATACACAAAGTGAAAGAGGTTTATCTGCCTCTAGCTGACTAGATTTGGAGACTCAAACACATGTAACTCCCAGAGGCAGGACAATAAGGAAAGTTAGAAGAATAGTTCTAGACCTTGGTGAAGTTGTAACTAAGCATGCAAGGCACTACCGAGAAGACCATGAAGACCACAGGAAGATCCAGCTAAGCCAGGAAGCACAGGTCAACCAGACACGTAAGGACAAAAAATTCTATGTAATTTATTAAGGAAGAAATAATCTGCTATCCTTTACAATCTAATTAAACACTGGAGCAATATCAGGAGCATTAGTTTAAGAATACAAACAGTAAGATGGGGCCAGGTGCAGTGGCTCACACCTGTACTCCCGTGCTTTTGGAGTATCACATGAGCCCAGGAGTTCAAGACCAGGTCAATACAGCAAGACTCCATTTCTACAAAAAAAGAATTTTA